TAACAACCGTACGACACACACACACACACACACACACACACACACACACACACAAGCACACACACACACGCACAAGCACACACACACACATGTGATTGCATGCATACCCGCACACACACACACACACACGCACACAAGCACGAACAAACATGTGATTGCATGCATACCCGCTCAAGGCACTGCTCGAAGAACGCGAGTGCATCGTGTGGGCCTGTGTGGTGGCGAATGAACATGTAAATGTGAGGCGGAGGAGAGGAAGGAGAAGGGGGAGCAGAAAAAGAGGACAAGGGAGAAGGAGAATGGGAAAAAAGAAGTGGGGGATCAGCATCGTGTCAACGTTTTAATCAAGTACCGACAGCAAGCACTGAGAGCAACTTCACACCCCCCCCCCCCACACACACATGCACACACACATACATGTGTGCAACTCACTCTCGTACTGGGTGGCCACGGTCAGGCACATCTTTGCATATGTCTGCAGGTTGATTCTGGTCGTTGCGGGGCGAGTGTGCACGACAGTGCATGTGTTGGCGAAAATGAGTTGATGTGAACGAGTGAATGTGGAGAGGGCAGTGTGAAGGCGCGCAAGGAACAAGGTTTGACAGGGCGGCAAGACGATCATGGATCAGAAATCCCCAACCTGTCGTAGAAGTGGACAATGAAGCTGTCGTGCAACTGTGTTGTTGTTGAATGCAAGCAGTTGCCACAACGGTGGGCACATAGCAAGTGGGAATGAAATGAGCAAGGATAAGTTAGGCAAAGGATGGTTGGCACGAAATGGGATGCAGGGAGACAAAGACAGACAGACAGGGAGACAAGTAGGCAGAAGACCAGGGAGACAAATATACACACACACAACAAACACGCGCACGCACACACACACACACACACACACACACACACACACACACACACACACACACACACACACACACACACACACCTCGACCATGCCGCCTGACGCAAACAAGTCGCTGGACAGCATCTCTGTGATCTTGACAGAAAGCTGATGCCACAGCCTAAGGCAAACAACAGGCAGTGAAGTGGAGGGCCGTGAGCACACGCCTCACCAAGCAAAGCAAGCCTGCAAACATCCACACCCACACACACACACACCTCCACACCCACACACATACAACACACGCGCATACACCCACACACACAACATACGCGCACACACCTACACAAACACACACACACACACTGCACACCAACCACCACATCCATCGGTACGCTCGATCAAACCTACGCACTTTCTGTTGTGCAAGGTTTGCACCTCCTTCCACACGTCCTCATCATCTCCGCGGGCGTTTGCCAACTGCTTCTCAATGTATGCCTCAGCCATGATGCGTGCTTGGTTCTCTCTCTTCCGCGCTGTCTGTGTGCCTAACTGCTTCTTGCGACGGTGTGTGTGTGTCGGCAGCTTTTGCTTCTTCTTTGTCGGTTGGTTGTTGCTTTCGCTTTTGTTCGTTGAACGGAAAAAAATAACACGCCAAAGACAAATAGATTCCATGCATGGATAATAAACAGCATGCACACAAAACCTCTATTAATACAACATCGAATCTCATACACAATAGTCAGCCAAAGAAAAAGTGAAGCCACTTCGACTGTCACGACATCCCACACACATCCTACCATACACCACACCCCATGCCACGCTCTCCACTCGCCCGTGATCAAGAAAAGTGCTCGAGGTACACGAGCTGATCAACAACAAAGCAGTCGCGGTACTCGGCCATCGTCTCCAGCGTGCGCTTGAACTCGGCTTCCGGCACCTTGTCCTCGCGCGCCTTCTTGATGTACTCGTACACGGGGAAGAACTGCGAGCCAAGCAGCCGCTGGCCCTCCTTGCGCAACGTCGCCATGCGCTGTGTCCGCAGCGGTTCCGGATCTTGCACCTCCGCCGGCCTGCTCTTCTCAGCGGCAGACTGAAGTTTGCATATGTGTGTGTATGTGAGTATGCGAGGGAGTGAGTGTGTGTTTGTGTGTGTTTGTGTGTGTTTGTGTGTGTTTGTGTGTGTTTGTGTGAGTGAGTGAGTGAGTGAGTGAGTATGTGTGTGTGTGTGTGTGACAGAAAGAGAGAGAGAGAGAGAGAGACAGAAAGAGAGAGTGTAGTGAGTGGGTGAATGGCAGCACTGAAAGCAGACTATCAAGCACATCAGGGAATTTGGTTTCCCCATTCACTCAAGAAAGTCTGTCTATTTGACGCACCTCTTCTTGCTGCGTCGTTGCCATCACGCCGCGCATGTATGTCTGAAGTTCTTTGAGTTCCTGCGTCATGGACCCATCCCACGTGTCATCATAGCGGGTGCTCGTGTCATCATCATCATCATCACCATCAGACTCAAAGTCCGCCGAGTCCAAATACATCTTCTCCAGGTCTGCATTTGGGACGTGTGTGTGTGTGCGCGCGCGCGCGCGCGCGCGCGTGTGTGTGTGTGTGTGTGTGTGTGTGTGTGTGTGTGTGTGTGTGTGTGTGTGTGTGTGTGTGTGTGTGTGTGTGTGTGTGTGTGTGTGTGTGTGTGTGTGTGTGTGTGTGTGTGTGTGTGTGTGTGTGTGTGTGTGTGTGTGTGTGTGCGCGTGTGTGGTGCAAGAGAGTGAGTGAGCGTTGTGTGCGAGCGCGATGGAACCAAAAGATCACGCGTGAGCAAGGCAAGTGTGGCGGAACTAACAAGAGCACGTGAATGCACTCAACGACGTTTGCACGTCAGCACGCAAATGTCCCACCCCCTCCCAACACACACACACACACACGCACACACACACGCACACACACACACACATACACATAATCACTATGCCTACCTGCAACGTCTGAATCGAAGAGTGCTGGGGAGGACGTGGAGGGCGATCCACGGTGCAGCGAGCGGCGGCCGCTGCGGGGGCGGCGACGCGGCGGCATATCCAGCAGCGATGGCTTCCCACCCTCCCCACGATCACCAAGACCAGTCCCATGCTCGTGATGGCGTGACGTGGAGCTGGTGTGCTGATGCTGTCTGCGTCGGCCGTTCCCACTGCGGTTGAGCCAGTGTTGCTGTTGCTGCTGCTGCTGCTGCTGCTGATGGTGTCGTGATGTTGTTGGTGTTGTGCTGCCATCACCATCGCGCATGCCCTTCCGATCTCTGCCGCTCATGTGAGCTCGCAGCTCGTAGCTCTCGTCCAGCATCGTGTCGTGGATGTCATCATCATCATCATCGTCATCGTCGCCGTTGTCGTGCCCATATGCAGATGCACCGCTGCGTGCGGCGAGCGTGTCCATGTACTTGCCATCACCATCCGACACACGCCGCCTCCGGCCACCGCTCACAGCAGGCGTCTGTTCCGCTCCCCTCCTCCTGCTCGCGCTGTTGTGTCTGCTGCTGCACGCTTCATCATGTGCTTCATCCTCCCCTACCAGGTCCTCCTCCACCTCCTCAACATGTTGATAGTCACCATCGTCCGACAGTGCGCCGTGCCACGATGCAAAGTCAATGGGCGCGCTGTGTGACAGCTTTTCCTTCTCCCTCTCCTTCTCCTTCTCCTGCTCGTGCCGTCTCCGGCTGTTGTCTGCCCGTCGCAGCAGCGTCGCAATGTTCAGCGTCGCGCTGCCCACCTCGTCACTCCGTACGCGCCCAGACGCACTGCGCTCTCGACCACCAACGCCGCTGCCGACACGACCACCATCACCATCATGTCCGTATTGGTGGCGGTGACTGCGCACAGCAGCAGTGGCAGCATCGTTGCGCCCCCGCCGCCCACCACCACGCCGCGATGAGGCAGACGGGCTGCGGGTGGCAGGGGTGGACAGCATCGGTGTGACGGGCGTTGTCATACTGAGCAGCGTGGGGCTCGGTGGACTGTGGCTGCATCCACGCCGCGCCGTGCCCACACCGCTGTCACCATCATGACCGCTGCGAACACCATCATCACCACCGTCATCAACATCAACATCAACTCCATCGTCCGCATCATGTGCGCGTGTGCGCGTGAGGTGGCGTCTTCCCCTCACAGGTGCAGACGATGATGGCGACGATGCGTTCGCTGTTGCTGCTGCTGCTGCTGTTGTTGTTGCTGCTGCTGCCTTCATGCTTGCACTGCGGCTGCGGCCCGTGTACAGCCCATCACTGCCATCGCTGACACCGCTGATGCCGCTGCCAACACTGGCCATGCTCTTCTGTGATGCCTGGCGGCTCCAGTGCGGGCCGGCGGCACGTGGCAGTCGCGATCGCCCCGTCCCCGCACGCGACGACCGCGGAGATGTGGACCGCGAGTCCTGTTTGACACCGGAGGACACACCCGTATCCGTCGTCGTCGTCGTGGTGGTGGTGGTGGTGGTGGGCGGTGACGGTGCAGTGACGCTGGTGGTGGGTGGTTGTTGCTGGTGTTGGTGTTGGGGGTGTTGTGAGTGGTGCTGGTGTTGGCGCGGCTGTGGGGGCGATGATGCTTGGTTGCTGGTTGGGTATTGCGCTGTCGGGTGAACGGCACGATCATCTGCCCACTCCTCTTCTTCTACAGGGTGATGCTGCTGCTGCTGGTGGAGGTGGTGCTGGTGGTGCAGTTGTTGGGTTGCGCGGAGGGCAGGCACAGGCGGTGATGCGCGCTGCTGCTGCTGTTCCTGTTGGTGCTCGTGTGGAGGCATGCTGGGATGCGTGTTATCGTCTGACGTGTGGATGATGGTCCCAGTGTTGGAGAAGCTGTCGTTCACCTGAACACGGCCACTGTTGTCGCCGTTGTGACTGTTGTCGTTGTGGGCGTTCTTGCTGTTCTTGCCCTCGTGGTGTGGGCCCATGGTGTCAGTGCTGCTGCCGATTGCTGCTGCGAGCGCGTCTTCGTTGCGCTGTGACGCCGCCAGGAACGCCGCCGCGTTCGCCGCAACGAGCTCAAACTCGTCCAGCTCTGCAGTGGTGGGCGGGGTGGTGCGTGCACGTGTGTGGTTGTGTGAGTGAATGGGTGCGTGTGTGTGTGGTGGTGTGAGTGAATGGGTGCGTGTGTGAGTACGTGTGTGAGTGTGTGGTGGTGTGAGTGGAAGAGTGCGTGTGTGTGTGTGTGAGTGTGTTGTTGAGGATCGTTGCGGCAGCTTCACGTGGTCCACAACGCCAACACACATAGCAGCACGGCAGTACCTGACTCTGCCTTTGAGAGCGGGGGCGGATGGGATGCAGTGATCGTGGCGTCCATGTCGTATGGCTGTTGTTTCGACGATGGGACGTGAGCAAAGTAGCGGGTGGCGGTGCCAGAGCAGTGGTGGGCTGTGGGACAAGTGGGCATGCGTACAGACAGACAGACAGACAGACACACACACACACACACACACACACACAGACACACACAGACACATTCCACACCTGGTGTTGGGCGACAATGGTTGCTTCTGGCCTAATCACGGTGGATGCCGTGTCAGCTTCGCCCACCTGTGGTCCATCGTGGTCCATCATTGCGTCATGCGCCTGCGGCGACTGCAAGCTCGTGTCCGAACGCCGGGCCCTCATCGTGGAAGACAGAAACGTGGGCGCCTGGACGAGCAGCAATGGTACATAAGTGGCAGTTGAGATTTGGTGGGGGCGCGTCATGAGGAACAAGCAGCACACAGAGAAGGAGCATGCAAACAGGGTGCACACAAAGAAGGAACACACGCATACACACACACACACACACACACACACACACACACACACACACGCACACACGCACACACACACACACACACACACACACACACACACACACACACACACACACACACACACACACACGAGTGCACACTCAGCCGCACGTCGTTGCCGTAGAGGGCGTGTGCGAGGTTTGACGACTGGAGATGGTCGCGCGTGTGCTGCTGGCGCGTTTGATTCTCCCGTCGCTGCTTCATCGCCGCCTGAGGACACGCAACGACGAATGGGCGGGGGGGGAGAGGGGGGGGGATGTGAGGAAACGTGCCCCCATAGACGTGGAACGTTGTCACGTGTAAAGTGCAAATCACACGCACGCACACACACGCACGCACACACAGACACACACACACACACAGACACACCTGCTTGAGCTGTGCTGCGCGTTGTTCCGATGCGCGGAGTTTCCGAAGTTTCATGCGCTCGCGAGGGGTTAAATGCTTCTCATCCTTTGCCAGTATCCCTCCACCTGTTGCTGCTGCTGTTGCACTTGGCGTTCGGGGCGAGGAGGAAGAGGAGGAGGAGGAAAGATGTGCCGTTGGGGATGACATCACGCCGTTCACACACTGCTGCTGCTGCTGCTGCTGCTGTTGTTGTTGTTGTTGTTGTTGATAGTGGTGGTGTTGTCGCTGCGCACCTGACGCAATCCTCGGCCCGTGCGGGGGGGTGTCGGTTCCCCACTGCTCATGGGACAGCGATCCCTGCGGTCCAGCAGGCGGGTGGCGCTGTTGTTGCTGCTGTTGTTGCCGGCTGTGTTGGCTGTGGTGGCGCTTCGTGTGTCCGACCTGTGAGCGAATGCGCTCGCGCTCCTCGTCGATGCTGCGGTGGGAGCTGCCGTGGTTGCAGCAGCGAGGGAAGGAGAGGGAGGGGGTGTAAGGTTAAGGAGAGGATGGTCAAGTAGTTGAAGCGACGCGACGTGGTGGAGTGAACGGCAAACACACACACACACACATATACATACACGCACACACAGCCGCACGCACGCACACACGCACACACACACGCACGCAGACACAGAAACAAACACACACACACACACACGCACGCAGACACAGAAACATATACACACACACACACGCAGACACAGAAACAAACACACACAGACAAACAAACCAAGGCAGCCCCTCTCGCACACGCGTACCGTTTTGAGAGGCGGAACTGCCACTTGTACATGTGTGCGCGGACGAGCGCGGTGTTGAGGATGGCGACGGCGCTCGGGCGCTTTGCCGGGTCCCGCTGCCACAGCCAACTCGACAGCTGCCTGGGTTGCGGTGGTGATCCATGATGATGATGATGGTGTGTGTGTGTGTGTATGCGTATGTGTGTGTGCGCGCGTGTGTGTATATGCGTGTGTGTGTGTATGCGTGTGTGAGTGCGCGTGTGTGTGTGTGATGTTGATGGAGGGGGGATGTGAGCGATCAGAGGTGCTGGGTGGATGGTATTGGTGGCGTTGATGTTGCTTTGGTGTGGAGGTGCTGGTCGTTTTGTTGCTGCTGATGTCAATGCGTCGACGCGTACACACACATCACGCAGTACCACCATTCCTCATCCGCCACTCACTTGAGTTCCTTGTCGTAGTGGTCCGGAATCTGGGGCACATCGCCCTCGCAGATCTGATACAACAGGCTCAGCAGTCCCTACACACACACACACACACACACACACACACACACACACACACATGAGTGAGATGCACAAGTACAGTAGTGGTGAGGGAAGAGGAAGACAGGTGTTGATCGGTCGCAGTTGTGATGAAGACCATGACCGCCGCACGGCTGAATAAAATCAGCCAATCAAACGCATTTATGAAGACAATACACATTGCCACCACGACGGTACCACTGAGCATCAACAAAATGACAACGACCAACACCAACCACTGCAATCATCATCTACACCACAACAACTGCTGCCATAACTCACCGCGCCGTCGAATGCGTGCTTGAGGGTGCACATCTCATACAGGATGCACCCGAGGGCCCAGATGTCGCTCTTGTCGTTGTAGCCAACACCCTGTAACGCTTCCGGCGACATGTAATATGGCGTCCCTGCGAATGTCGTCGCCTCGTCCGTTGTCCCCATCAACACGCGCGCAATCCCAAAGTCCCCTGCACGCCACACATGCGTGAATGAGTGAGTGTGTGTGTGATGTATGCGTGTTGGTGTGATGTATGTGTGTGTGTGATGTATGCGTGTTGGTGTGATGTATGTGTGTATGTGTGTGCGTGTGTACATTAAGCGAGCACGTGTTTATGTGTGTTTGTGTTGATTGATCTTTCGCTGCACCTCAACATCACCCGCGCAACGAATCAACGCCACTTCCATCCCCTGCTCACCAAGCTTGATGACACCCCTCTTCAGGAACACGTTCTTCGACTTGAGGTCCCGGTGCAGCACTCCCCTGACATCCACACACACACACGCATGTACACGACAATGGTGGTGAGGTGTTGGTGATGAGGTGTTGGTGATGAGATGGGTGACATATGTGGGCAATGCAATGCAGGTCCAGCACACACACACACACACACACACACACACACACACACCCCTATGAGCCAGTAAACTCACGGACATGTGAACCTAAGCGCTCTTAGAGGGAACAGAAGGAGACAAGGCCACAAAGGTCCCATCATAGATCGGTGCTACTCTACGCAACCCTTTCGTAACACTAAGTTGGGTATACTTTCCCGAAACCTTCAACAATCCGCGTTTACGCCGAACTGACATGTTACGGATGTCTGCATTTAAACGCCCATATCCACCGAACGAAGGCCGGGGGTTAACCCACACGCTCACACACACACACACATACACACACACACACACACACACACACACACACACACACACACGCTCACGCATACACACACGCTCACGCATACACACACACACACACACACGCTCACGCATACACACACACACATACACACACACACACACACAGAGTCTTCCCTGCCTCCTCCTCCCTCCTCCATTCACACTGCGCGCGCACCTCTCGTGCAGGTACTTGAGGGCCATGGTGAGCTGGACAAACCAGTCCAGGACCTGCTGCTGCTGGATCACACCGCCTTCCTGCTTTACAGCCTCAATCTTGTCTGCCAGGTCGCCGCCCTCACAGTACTCCGTGACAATGCACACAAAGTCCTTGTCGATGAAGCTGTCGTGGAACCGCAGGATGTTCGGGTGCTCCAGCTGGGATGCAAAATGTGTGTGTGTGTGTGTGTGCGTGTGTGTGCGTGTGTGTGCGTGCGTGTATGTGTGTGCGTGCGTGTGTGTGGGGTGAACAGAAGTGGGCACGCAGGAGCAAGCAAGCACATGACACGTGCACATGCTGGTGTGAGCGAGGGTGCTGGGACTGTGACGGTACAAACAAGAATGGCACTGAATGCGAGGGAGCATGAAACG